CGTCTCTCTCATCTCTGTCTTCGTATTTCCACCGTCTCTCCCCGTCCCACTCTCTTTCATCTTGTCCCTTTAACACCATCATCTCTGGCTCTGTCACACCTCTGTCTCCCCCCCATATCCTTGTGAAGTGTGTGCAAGGGGACTAAAGTGCCCCAACCTGCACCCCATTCCGAAAGTCTCTTCTGACCCCAAAGGAGGCCATGATTCTAACGGAGGCACGTATCCCTTCCACCTCTGAAACATGTTTTTCTAGAGCGTTTTTGATGCACAGAAGTCATAGTTCATGGGTGGGGGGTGGACTGTCTGCCTGGCAGGGTGGGGGGGGGGGCGGCCGCAGGCATCGGCCACAGCCACCAGGGCCACGCTGCCTGCGCAGGGACCTCCTGGCGCGACTGGCCTCGTCCCAGCAGGTTCACGTGACCCATGCAGTCCCACTAATGGTCATTTAGGTTGTTGCGAATTTCTGTTCGACAAGGGCTGCTGCAGGGAGGCACGCCTCGCCTGCTGTGGGCCCAAGCGAGCACCTTGTCCTAGTTCCTCTCTCCCGACTTCCAGTCCGCCCCGCTCCATTCAGGCGCGTGGGTCCTTGGGAGCCCGCAGCCCACTCCACTCAGGATACTACAGAGAGCGGATGCATGGCCTGGGGTCTTCTTGTCTTGAGGGCCCCGATGACCCAGGCCCAGCATCGTGCCCGAACTTTTTCCCCTTCCCCCTCCTGTGGCCTCTTTACTGACTCTGTGTGTGTGTGTGTGTGTGTGTTGGGGGAGGGAGTTAGATAAATACAGACCAAAGAGCATCCCATCTGACTTTGCTCGACATTCTTCATGCGGGGGCCACGTGGGGTCCCGCCTGCTGCAGAGGGCCCCCTCTGGACGACACAGAGCATCTAGGGGGCCGGGAGATCCTTGGAAGAGCCCCACGTCTCCTGTGCCTGTGGGTGATGGATTAGGAGGCTGAAATGGGGTAGATCCCACTTTGCAGAGCAGGACACTGGGGCCAGGGGAGGTGATGGGGCATGGCCAAGGCAACACATGTCACAGGGGGCAGGGCTGAGAGGGCTGGTGAGCGGCTGTGCTCATTCTTCCATTCAACAAATGTCTCCTGGGAACCCAGCCGTGCCCCCACTGTTCCAGCATCTTTAGATACAACCTTCAACCTCCCACTGAAGGAAGCATTGTCACCGCCACATTACAGGAGAGCCAGGCTCCGAGAAGTGGTGTGGTCAGCCCGTGGTCACACAGCCAGGAACACTGGAGCTTTGTTTGAGCTCCAGGCTTCATGCTTGGCCCACTCCGCACCGCATGGCCCCCAGGCTGGGGCTGGCTCACAGCCGATTCCCACCCAGGGCCCCCCACCTGCCAGCCACTCCCCAGGGGCTCACATTCCTGCAGAGGACAGAGCACACGACACATGAGTGAGCAGAGTTCACTCCAGACCGGGCCACTTCCTCCGCGGAGAGGAGGTTGTCGGGAAAGGCCCCTCATGGGAGACGATGTGGGGCTGAGAGCGAGGGGCAAGGGGCCGCAGGAGGCCCGTGGGCAGAGCGCCCATCCGGGAAGAGAGGACAGTTGAGGCCCCAAGGCAGAACAGGCATGGAGACTGAGAAGAAAATGCCAGGGCGGCTGGAGCACAGGTTGTGCACTGCGGGGCGGGCTGTGGGGTGGGCTGCGAGGCCACGAGGAGAAGTGGGCAGTGGCCGATGCCCCCATCCCCCGGGCCCACCAGGCCCCAGCCCTAAACACCCCCAGCCACAGCCCCCCTGCTCTCCCTCCTGGGCATTCTGGTTCCAGACTCTTGTCTCCTGGCCTGGCCTCTCTGCTGGGCTCTGGGGCTCCTCTCCGGGAGCACCTCACCTGCCCCAGGGCCCCCACGTGCGTCCTGGGCAGTCCTGCCCCCCTCAGGTCCTGAGGCCATGCACTTTCTGTCACACTAAGTGTGCACACACATCTGCCCGCTGCTCTGGGCCAGGCCCCCTGGGACACGCTGTTCCTTCTGCCCACTCTTCCTCCGTCTTCTCCCCCGGTGAACTGAGGCAAGGTCAGGGTCATGTCCCCCATCTGACCCCAAGCAGAGCCCAACCCCTTCCTCCATGCCCCCCACCCCAGGTCATCCATCACCTTTTCCTGGGTCCTGGCCCAGCAGAGCGGAGGCCCCGTGAGTCCCCAGTAGCTGAGAGGAGTGGTCTGGTCCCTCTGTGTTCCAGCGCTCAGCCCTCCCGCACCGCTAGAGATCCCTTCCTCCTGCCCCCACATCCCTAGGCCACCTCCTCTAGGAAGTCCTTCTTGATCCTCCTGCCCCACAGACCCAGCCAACCAGCCCTTTAGTTTCCCCAGGGGCCTCCACCGCAACCGTGGGTTCCGCGGCCTGGATCCCACTGATGGGCCTATGCACCGGCCCACGGGCCCACCTACAGGCCCCAGGTCAGCTCAGTTCTGACAAGAACTACCTGGAGTTAGGTGAAGGGTTCAGTCCCACAAAACCGCCCCTGCAGAAGACACGCTTCGAAAGTCCCGGACACCTGTACCTCTAGCCCACCAGCACCTCTAGCCCACCAGCTGTAACTGGGGTTCCCGTTCTCAGGTTTGATGGTTTGTGAGGACGGGGCTCGCCGAACTCAGGAAAATGCTACGTGCGTTTACCAGCTGATTACAAAGTTGTTACAAAGGATGCAGGTGAACGGCCCAGGGAAGAGGTGCACAGGGGAGTTCTGGAAGGGTCTGTCCCCCGCACCTGGGGTAACCACCCTCTAGGCCGTGGGTGTGTTCAGCTACCAGGATGCTCTCTGAACCCCGCGGTTCAGGAATTTTGCAGAGACGTCCATCACAGCGGTACGACTAACTAGTCACTAACTCAACCTCCGGGCCCTTTCTCCCCAACCACCCCCTGATGATAGGGGTAGAGCTGAGAGTTCCAAGCATCTAGTGATTCTGGGTCTTCCTGGCGACCACCTCTCATTAGAACACAAGACACTGCTATCGCCCAGGAAATCCCAGCGACGCAGGGGCTCAGTGTCAGGAAGTGGGGGCGCAGATCGAATGTCTATTTTTACTACAGGACACTCAGCCTGTCTCAGAAATGGCTTTGGGCAAGCCTCCACACCCCATCCGCCCCGGCAAGAACCCCTTAGACCGCCCCATGGCCCCCGGGACCACCAAGGCCAGCATCTGCTCCTCCCAGGAAGCTAGGGCCCTGGCTGGCAGGCAGGAATGAACACGTGCTCCCACCTCCAGACTGGGGGGCCGAGGCAGCTGTTCTCTCACTATAATGCTCCCTTGCTTGCTCGTTCCCTTGCCTCTGGCCCCCCCACTCCCCTGTGGGGTCCACCCTCCTCCCAGACATGCTGCTTGGGCTCAGAATTGCATCTCCCGGTTCGCTAGGGGGCACTGAGACCAAGACCCTCCCAGGCTGCCCTCTGCCAAGACGCTCCATGCCTTCCTCCTTCCTCCTTCCTCCTGGCCCAGGGCCGGGGGAGGTTGCTCAGGGCGGGGCACTGGGAGGAGCGCAGCCTGTGAGCCCAGTCTGAGGGAGTAGGGGGCGCTGGGCCACCACAGCCCCCACAGAAGCTCGGTGCCACCCAAATATGGTGCCCCTCCCTGGGGTGGCCCAGCCCTGCCAGGCGAGGCTAGACTCCCGCCCTGCTCACCCTCCCAGCCGGAGCCCCTGCAAAACCCCAGGAGGCAGCAGGCAGCTCCTCCCGACGTCCCCTGGGGGACACAGGCTGGAGCAGCAGGGTGGACCCCTGCGGGATTCTGATCCTGCTCCACTGTCCCCTACTATGTGCTCCAGGCACTTGGAGACCCTGTTTCCCTCCCGGCTTGGAGGGAGGCAGTGCCCCTGGGCCCAGAGCAGCTGGGGAACGCAGGGCAGGGGCCGAGTGTCCCAGCCACGCCCGGCACTGGGAGGCGCTGCCCCCGTGGACACCTGCGGCCACCTGCGAGGTGGAATCGAGAAAGTTCTCCCCTGCCTGGAGCCCCCAGGTCTCATGGAGATCACCCAGGCCCCACGACAGCCTGATGACAGACCCCGAGAGCAAGTCACTGCCATCCCTGCTGCCCAGGCAGCCTTGTGGAAACGGGGAGGCCCCAAGTCCTGACCCAGGAGTGACGTGTGCCAGACACACTGATGCTGTGGGGACAGAGGCGGCACCAGCCTGCCCACGGGAAGGGCAGTGGCTGCTGCAGGGACCAGCGGGCGGGTGGCCCCCAAGGGAGCAGGGAGGAGGGGAGGCCCGGGGGGGGGGGGCCCAGCCTCATGGGTTGAGGGCTGCAGCTGCAACAGGGACTGTCCCATCAGGTCAGGGACACCCAGCCCAACCTATGCCCGCGGTCACACCCAAAGTTGTCCCCGAGGGTTTGCGTGGGATGGAAGGTCTCCCCATGTTTGGTGGGGACGGAAAAGAGCAGATGTTTCGTGGACCTCCTGAGAGAAACCAGGAGCCCAAGATGGCCAGAGCCGTCATGAGGGGCTGAGGCCCACAGTGGGGCTCGAGTCAGGGCTCCGACCGGAGCCGGGGAGCCAGGCCTGAAGAGCACAGGCACCGGGTGGGGGGCTGTGGGGTCAAAGGGATGGAGAGACACAGGCCCGACCCCGCAGGCCGCCAGCCGTGTGTGTCCCGGGGGGTTTCTGTGTCGTCCTGCTGCATGGGAAACCCCGCCGGAGCTGGGGCTGCTGGGCCGGGTGGGCTGGCCCCGGGCCATGCTGGCAAACAGATGCACGGACGCGGGTGGACCGCGGAGAAGCAAGGCGGGCCCTTTATTGGAGAACCTGTCACAGACACACGGACACATGCAGCCCACGGCAACCCCAGCCTGGCCCGGAAACAGCCCCAGGCCTGGAGCAGCTGGCGCGGGCCCGGAGGTCTGCCTGCCGGGGAAATGGGTGGACCTGCCTGGCATCGACCAGCACATCCCTCCTGCGGGGCTGCCTCGGCGCCCTCGGGAGAAGAGCCAGCCCAGGGGGGAGTGGGGGGGGCGGTGCGTGGGGGAGTCCAAGGTCTGAGGGGACTCAGGGGAGGCTCCCAGGCCCCACCAGGCTGTGGCCCTCCTTCATGTTTGCCTTTCCTTTCTCCTGGCTGGGCCGCGATCCCCAGGTCACAGGGACAGGTCCAGGGACCAGGTGGGGGGCGGGGCTGGGGAGGCCTGGGCCGGGTGGGTGCTGCCCTCTGGGGTCCGGTTAGTACCAAGCGGCAGCAGAGGGCCCTGCTGGCCAGTCCGGGGAGGGGTGAGGCTGCCGTGTCTGGGGTGCTCACAGGAGAAAGGGGAGGAAGCGTGGGTTCGAGGGCTGGGGCCGGATGGTGGGAAGGTGGGGGCCAGGCCGAGCCCCTGTGGCTGCCCTGGGGCTCAGGCTGGTGCTTCCAGGGCGCGCACGTGCACGCTAGGCAGGCAGAACCAGGAGGGCGGCAGCTCTTTGCTCGCGCTGTCCTGGTGGAAACGGATGTGGAGGAAGAAGTCGCCCGTGTAGAGGAAGAGGAGGGCTCCCAGGCAGGCCGACTGGCCTGCGGGCTGCACCTGTGGGAGGAGGGACAGATGTCAGCCCGGAGCAGACCAACCCCAAAGCCCCCAGGAGACCCGTGGACCTGCCTGGACACAGGGGCAACAGGGGAGGGGAGGCCCCCCAGGGCTTCCCTGCTGTGCCTCCCCAAGCAGGTGGCTGCCCTCTCTGAGCCGTAGCTCCCAGCATCGGAAGGAGCACAGCACGCCCCTCCCCGGGCCATGTCAGGGTTGAGGCAGGCCGGGGCGTGGCTGGGATGAGATGTCGTTTCTGCGGGTGATCGGGGCTTGGCTGAGGGCTGTGCTATGCGGACATCACTGCGGGCAGCCACGGTAGGCCAGGAGCACAGACTAGGGGGCGCCAGGGGCGGGGATGGCAGCAGGTCTGACACCATCCTTGGCCACCTGCAGCCGCTTTGTCTCCTTAGCAAGATTCTAGGCTGGTCCCACCGTCCTGGGTCCCAGCCAGGACTTGTGATGTCCTGCGGCAACTTGGGTGAATGAGGGTCAGCACAGACAAGGCTGGGCTCACCCACCGCTGAGCCCTCCACCTGGGGGGGGGGGGCTGAGGACAAAGGGACAGTGACCACAGGGGCTGCACGGGTCTCACAGACTGCCACGTACCGCGTCCAGGTGGAGGGTGCCGGAGCCCACGAAGGAGACAGCGCTGTGCAGGTCGTAGTTGCGTGCCCCATTCTGGTGGTCCTGGAAGGGCGCCACAGTGAGCGCGAAGGGCCCCACACTGCGCGGGCTCCGGTTGGTCAGCCGCACCTCCAGACGCACGGGGTCGCCCACCCGGCAGGCCGCGGCCTCACTGTCACAGGGCTGTCCGTCCACCAGCACATCTGCAAGGGACACGGGACACGAGACTGTCAAGGGCACTGCCCCACTGGCCTTGCGCACCTGTCTGTCTCCTGTTCATTCTCCCGTTCACTCCCCTCCTCCTTCCCACACCGAGGCAGCCGCTCCGTCTGTACAGGCTGGGTGCTGGGCACAGATCGTGGCCCAGTCCCTGCTGTCCTACTGTGCAGGCTGGAGAAGGCAGGTGTGGACACCAGAGCTGTCCCCCGGAGGGTCTGTGCCATGCCGGAGGGGCCCGGGTTCAGCTGGGGTCTCCCATGCTCCTGTCCAAGAGGGCTGGCTGTGGCCACGGCCCACGGCGGAGAGAAAAGCCAGGAAAGAGAATCAGAACCAGAAGGCAAGAATGTGGCAGGGGCTGTCGTGGCGTGCCTGGGACCTGGCTGGGCCTTTGCCACACACACTTGCACAGTGGCCCGCCCAGAGCCCCCCGGGGAAGGCTGGGCCCTCCCTGGGGCACCAGAGAGGTGACAGGACGCTAGCAGGGGAGAGGTCTGGAACTTGAGGAGCAGAGTGGGGATGGGGGGTGGAGGGGTGGGGGAGACGGGGGTGGGGGTCGGTAGACTGGAAGGTGCTGTGCCAGGACCCCCACTCCCCTCAAACCCCCAGGACATCCCTGCAGGATGGTGGGAGGGGAGGTCTGGGGGACCCACTTGGAGGCCCGGGTGGGATTTGAGAATGAGACGCATCCTTGGGAGAGGCAGACGAGGGGAAGCTGACTTGGAGGAGAGGCCACATGAGGTCAGAGGCAGAGACTGGAGGCCCAGAGCTGAAAGAGCAGGAAGCAGCCCCCCCGCCACCCCCCGAGCCTCTGTAGGGGGCAAAGCCCAGCCAACACCTGGCCTGCAGACCGGGGAGGGGGCCGGCGCCTGTCGGGTGATGCTCACAGTCCGCGGTCTCTTCTTACGGCGGCTCTACCACCGACATGGCCAGGCAGGAGGCCTCCAGCTCATGGATCCGACCGTGGAGGTCCGGGAGGGGGCCCATGGCCACGTTGTGACTTTGTGTCACCTGCTGCTAGCTGTGCAGCTGCAAGGGGCCGACCTGAGCCCCGCCAGCCTGCCTCAGCTGACCTCTAGCTGTTGTGTCCACAGGCGGACCAGGAGACACCTCCTCCTGCCTGGCAGCCGCTTCCACCAGGTGACCGCAGGGAAGACCCTCCCGCCCGGCCACTGGGGGCGCCCTGGAGCCCGTGGGAGGGGGCTGATTCCTCACTCGGGTCCTGGAGGCACAGGATTGGAGGAAAGTTGGGGGTGGCCTGCCTTGGGGGGGCAAGGAAAACCCTCCCTGCAGGGATGTGCTCTCCGGGGGGGGGGGGGGGGGGGGGGGGGGGGCCTTGCTCTCTCCAGCTGATCTCGCGCAGCCAGGCCAGGGACGGGTGTGTGTGTGTGTGTGTGTGTGCGTGTGTGCGTGCACACAAGAGAGATGGAGTGAGAGTGCGTACATGGGCGATGCATGTGTGTGTGTGCGTGACTGCATGAGACAGTGAGTCTGTGTGTGTATGAGAGTGTGTGAGCATGTGTGTAAGTGGGAGTGTGTGGATGAGCATGTGTGAGGACACGTGTGTGAGAGCATGTGTAGGGGTACACGTGTGTGGGAGTGGGAGCATGCATGTGTGTGGACGGGGGGCACACCGGGAACTGGGGGCGGGCAGAGGCCCGAGGCAGCACATGGGGACGGCTCTGGATGCCGCTAGGCTGGGGTGGGGAGGGGATGCGGGTCCAGAACCACCCAGCACGTGTGCCACCAAGTCCATTCTTCCAGGAAAGCCTGAGACCAAGTCTCCCCCCACCATATTTTGTTTCTTTAAAATCACAAGCTTTTATAACACACTATAGAAAGTTTGGAAAGTTCATTGAAATAAAACTAATTTTCTAAGTGCCCCCTGCTGCCAGCCCTTCTCCCAGCCACCACTCTCCCTTCGCTTCCCCTCCACCCCCCACCCCATGTGTTCACCGCCGTGGCCTGGCGGCTGGCGCTCTGGGACCTCGAGAACAGAAGCACGGTCCACACGCGGACATTTTAGCGAGAATGTTTTCAAAGGCGACAGGGGATTCCATTAAAAGAATAAACGGTAATTTACCCACCCGAGCCCCGGGAGGTCATGCGCACCGTTTCCGTATTTAAATAACCCCAGTGTGCGAGTTTTTACAGCGAGCTCCATCTAAATCCCTCCCTTGCGTTCTGCGGATACGGTGTCACCAACGGAACCCCTGGCACAGGAGTAAGGGCGTTTCTAAGAGGGTCTGCTTCCTGCCTGCCCCTCCCCGCATCCCCACCTTCCCAGGAGGGAAATCTCCCCCCCCCCCACGACCCCGCATCACCTCCCCTGGGCTCCTACCCTGGGGGCAGAGCCTCCGCCCGGCGGGCTGTGTGGGCGCTGGGCCACCACGGGGTAAGACCCGTCCATTCCAGCATCCTCCGCCGACCCTCACCCCCCTCCCAGCGCCTGCAGCCGGGGTCACAGGACCCCGGAAACGCATCTCCGTCCCGCGCTACAGCCAGGCTGCGGCCACAGGGGCGCAACGGGGTGCTTCCCTCCTGGCCCGGACGGGGCCCTCCACCAAGCGCAGGCACGGGCTGGCGGGCACAGCGGGCCTCGGTCACGTCTGCTGAACAGTGAACACGACCAGGCACCGCCTAAGCCTCTTGAATCCGACGGGAGAATGGAGGGAGCAGGAGTCGGGCGCCTCGGTTGCTGGTTCCATTAAGGGAAAGATACGATTATGTGCAAATCAGCGAAGGGTGGCTGGCTCATCACGTCTCTGCTCTGCGCGTTTTTTCCTTGCAGAAAACTGTGCGCATTACTCGCTTGCTAGGGCAGCTGAGCACTGGCCTCTGGCTCGCAGCAGAGCTGCTCCCAGCCCACCTGCTGGTTAACCCTTCTCTGGCCCCCAGCTCCCGGGCAAGGGGGAGGGGAGACAGTGCTGTGTGCGCAGCTACTGGCAGTCATCTTCCCTTGGCACTCTCTTGAAGGAGCAGGGATCTGTGGCCTTGAGGCCAGGCCAGGGCGGAAGGGGTGGTGGACGTGCCCCCAGCTAAGCAGGGGGGATCCCATGATCCTACCTCAGAGGCCTGGGTAGGGCTAGAGAACCAGAGAGAGGGCAGAGGACCCAGCCAGGCCTTCCCTGCCCTGGTCTGAGGGGAGCACTCCCCCTGGGCCCCCAGATCACTGGCTCTTCCTCGGAGCTGTGACGGCTTGCCCCCCAGGGGAAGAAGAGGGGCGGCTCTCTAGAGCGGCAGAACCCACCCCACCTGCCACCTGCCGTGATTTCACGCATAGGGTGACAACTGTCCCAGCTCAGCCTGGCACGAGTGTTGGAAGTCCTGCATCCAGGAAGCCCTGGGTCCCAGGCAAACGGGGACAGCCGGGCATGCCACCCCAGGATCTGGAGCCCAGAATGACCGCCCAGCACACTGGAGCATTTCTGTGCTCAGAAAGCAGCCGTTTCCTCCCTTTCGGCAGGCCAACATCTCAGACAGGTCCAAAGGCCCAGAACGCCCCACATCACTCCACTCACAGCCGAGTGGAGCACGGTCTGCTGTTCCCTGAGCCAACGACGGCGGGATCCCTGAATCGAGGGGGATGCCGCGGGCGGTCTCTCCCGGGACCCGTAGGGCGCTGGTTCAGAGATCTGGGGAAGACATGCCTAAGAGTGCCAGGGTTGCTGGAGATGCTAGCTGTGCTCGGGGCGGGGGGCGGGCTGGGCACCCCATCGGCACTGCCTCTCCAGCGCACCCCCTGCTGGAACCAATTCCCTTGTCTGGTTCTGAACCAGACCAGCCGTGTCCCATCCTGGGCAGAGGGCCCCGCGGAGGGGCGGGGAGCAGCAGCTGAGATCAGAGAACAGGCCTGAGCGGGCCACCAGCGGCTCAGGAAGCCCACTAGGAAGGAGCTGGGAAGGAATACACTCTTCTCAGAGGCGAGCTGTTTGGGAGTCATTCCTGCTGTGCCTGAGGGAGGAGAGCCTCCCCTTAACTGCTTCCCGGAGGGAGTCCTGTCCGAGGCGGCCCCCTGCCCTCTAGATGGGGAAGGTGGGTGCCTTGTCCACGTGCCCACAGCAAGACCGGGACCCCAAGAGTGGCGGTGGATGAGGTCCCACAGCTGCGAGGGAGCCGTGCACAGGGGACCTCCTCCTGGGGCTGCTCAGGAGCGGAGAGCCGGACACACAGAGCTCAGACTCTGGAGGGTCAAACCTTTCCCCTGGAACCTTCCAGAACCCTGAGTCTGCTTTCCTGCCACAGAAGACGGTGAGGTAGACAGACTAATGCCCCCTAAAGGATGTCTGCGTCCTCACCCCTGGAACCTGTGGGACATGTCCCCTCCCTTGACAAAAGGGACTCAGCAGCTATGATGAGGGGAGGGTGTCCTGGAGTAGCCGGGTCAGGGGAGGAGGTGATGGCATCTCAGAGGCCCAGCCTCACACCTGAAGGTCACACCGAAGTCACTCCTGCTTGGCACCCATGCCCAGTCCATCGGCACCCCGGGGTCAGCAGTCAGCATTCCCGCCGCCAGCTGAGCCGGGGCCCCCTTCCTAGCAGACCTCCCCATGTCCACACTTCCTGTTCTCCCCTTGCCATCCAACAGTCACAGGGATGGTGTAAAAATGCCACTCAACTGTATTACTTCCTTGCTTGCTACTCACCCGGCCTACGGCTTCTCTTTACACTCAGAACAAAAGGGAGGTTCGATCAGATTTTGGCCACTGACCCTGGCTTCCAGGGCCCTGCGCAGCTCCAGTCGGGCTCCCCCCGATCACACAGGCTGCTGTATCCCCCCACTTCTTGCTCTAACCACGTGATCTCCCTCCCGTTCCTCTAGCCTGCGCCTGCCCAGCACATACCTGTCCCAGGGCCTTTGCCCCTGCTATTCTTGCCACCTTGGCCCTCTCCTCTGAGAGGCCATTTCTGGCCACCCAGTGAAGAGCCCGCCCACCCCTGTTACTCTTCCATACCCTCTGTTTTCTCACGGTTCTCGACACCTTAC